AGTTTTGTGTTGCTTAAAGATTAAAACATTATTTTCTGTTGGTATGACCAAAGAAAGTTGAGCTTGAGAAGGAGGTTGTTTGGATGTCTGGGGTAGTTTTGTTGTGAGTTGGGTTATTTTGGGTGAAGGGAAGAGTTGGGGCAGGTGGAGGGTGTATGGGTGGCCCTAGGTTTGGAGGTTTATAGAGTGGTAGCAAATTAGTGCTAGTAATACAGGAAATCTTCAAACCTGTCTCAGAGATGCCTTTAGCCTTGTATTCAGTATAAACTAGGACTTTTACGAAGCAGTAGTACTTTCTCTTGGTTGCTTGCCCCAAGTAAGTTTATTCTATGCTTTAAGCTAAAGTCCTTTGACGATGATTTTTTTTTACTCTTCCTTAGGTTTAATTCTCAGTTTACTATTAGGTGTCAAAAGCAGAGATGTGAAACACAAAGTTTCTAAAGCCAAGTGCCATGAAAAGAGTCTGTATTCCCCTGTCGTGCACAGAACTGAACCTTCCAGGTCAGGGGAGGTTGTGTTTTCAACACCATCTGTTGTGCCTGGGGATTCCAATGCAATACTTTTCATGACCAATAACCTTACACAGTTTGCCATTAAAGAAAATAGAATTTGGATTTTGGTTTTAGTCATCAACTTCTACTCTTACATGAATTTGTATGTGCTTTCAAAAGGCCAATTTTAAGAACAACTTATATGACAGGGGAGCTCATAGCACATGTAAGACATTATCTGGAATTTTGGCTCTGAAATTTGCATATGGGAACTGACTGGTTTTTCAAGTTCTGACCCAGAAATATGCAGGTAACTTTGATAATCTTTTTTTTAAAGAATGCTAAAGCACTGCTAATGACCCCAGCACTCTAAGAAGCTACTTCTGTAGATTGTGTTGTGCATTTAGTAGCTTCTGGTTATTTTTTCACCTTGCATTTAGAGCAGATTCCAGTTAGCATAAGAGTAACATCATGTCAGTCCTAGTTCTTTTCTTCTGACATCTCTTTTAACTCCTGTTGCGATTTGGCCCAGTTTTCCACAATGTTGATCCTGAGCCCAAATGTAACTTTGTGGGTGGTACATATGTCAAGACCTAGTTCAATATTTTTGGACAGCAGTAGCATTTCATAATTTCTTTTGAGATGAAAAGAAGAAACAAAGTTAACTGGAAAAAATGCAGCTAGATCTAGCAGGGTGCGAGCTTGCCTTTTCTACTCCCTACTGCTCCCCCTGTTTTTCCATTTGGAAAAATAGAGGCTTACATGGCAGAAGCACTTAACAAGCTTTAGGCCTATTCAGAGCTGGAAGCAATAGCATTGTCTTGTCTTTATAACCTTTCTTGTCATGCCCTGGTAGCTACCAAATCCTCCTGGGATTTGGACAAGGAAGACATGGAGAAGGGAGGGTTGCAACACTGTGTTGTTAAAGCAGTGAGCTGGGCTGAATTACACAGAGGACTGAATAAGGCCATGCTGGCACTGAAAGAGCCAAAACACCCCCTTAGCTTCTCTGTATGTCTGTTTGATATACCTACTGCCATATTATATCTTTATATACAGTACACAACAGTATAAATGCAACTTTATTACATAAAATCAAGATAAATAGTCCAGAAGGTTGTAGCCTGTGTGAAATAAACCCACATACAAAATGCAGGAGATTTCACAGAGCTTAAATTAAAATGAACTTCTTATCTTCTTTCCATCTCCCCAGTGCAGTTGCTAAGTTGTTAGCTGAAAATCTGTGCTTCATGCTTCTCTTGCAGCAAACCACACAGTAGTGTATTATTAATTCTGTTTCTCTAGTAATGCAGGACATAGGTACATTTCTAGAGTGTCTCAGGTTGCTTTTCAGTGTGTCTGTGCTACCTGTGCTGCTGTGGTTGCAGTTCTCAGTATTGGTTTTTAAGTGATGATAATTTTTCAGGCAATAGCAACATCAACAGAAAAAACACATTTGAGATGAGTTTGACACCCAGGTTCTAAGCCGAAGAGGCAACAGGCTATGAGAAACCACGAAATAAATCACTGTAGCTCTCTGGGCCTCCCTCACTTAGTTGCACAGCTTTACGAGGTCACAGGCTAGCCAGCTGCTCTCCCTAATCTGCTGATGTAGAAAGTTAGCTGAAGCCCTTGGAAAATGGCCTTCCCCAGTGTCCTTACAATAAGGTGTCACAGTTGAAGGCCTTAGGGACAGTAGTTTTTGTAATGGTTCCGTAAAAAAAAAAAAAAAAAAAAAAAAAAAGCTGGAATATAAAAGAAGCTGGACTCAACAGTGGGGAGCATTCTTTTGAAGGGCACTTGCCTAAATGATACTTTTTTCTTTTCTTCCTAAAGCACAGTCAGTGTGAGGTGTTGTGCAGGACAATATAAGGAGAAAGACGAGAGAGGGGAAAAAAGTTTGGTCCCTGTTTTTGTCAATTTACAGTGTAAAGGGAGGGCTTTGGTCTTAAATATTTGTAGTTACCTTGCAGGTGTAAAGAATGGGCTTGTTTTTTCTTTTAAAAAGGGGGCTGCAAGTAGTTAGATCACATCATCTTAGTTTTGTTTGCTATTTTAACAAATATGTACAATAGTGGGAACATCCAGTAGGAATGGTTGTCTTCTTAGGCTTGTGGTTTGATTAGTCATTTGACTGATGCTCACAATGGATTCAGCTGATACCCATTTTCTTGGTGGCAGAGCACAACTGGCTCTATGCAAGGCATCATTTAGACTCCTCAAGGATGTTTTCCCAGGGCTTCCAGAACTGTAGGTCCAGTTGGAAGCGTCAAAACATGTTCATGAGTAGTCAGAAACAGTAAATTTTTTACTCTACATTCAAACCAGGATATCCAAGTTCGTGAATGAGGCAGAGATATTGGTTAGAAATAAAGGAAGGAAGGAATAAGAGCAAAATACATGACTGACTCCTCCTTCCTGTGGTTACTGCGCTAAAAAGAGAAAAGACAGCAACACACACGGACCTCTTTGGGGAAAAAAGGCCAACTTTATTGTACGGACAACCAGTATTTAAAGTGTGTTATGTGCAACTAGGACAGGACAGTAGTTCACTGGACAATTGGGAAAAACATCCTTGGGACAGCACCTCAGGATGTATCCCACGGGAAAGACACCAGGTGTTAATCTTTACTATGAATTCCACTCTGTTTTTCACCATATTATCACCCTGGGAGACTTCCTCCCTAACTGAAGCTGTAGTCAGCTTGTCAGCCTGGGAATGGAGCTGAGAGACAGGAGAAATCCAGGCCTGAAAAAGAATGTCCAAGCTGTAATTCCTTACCTCTCTAAATGTGTATGTCCACACCTTCCCAACTAAATGCTATTCCAGGATTTAAACATCAGGGAAATGTTATCATGGTGTCTACTTGTAATAATTTGGGCCTCTTTGTTTGGTTTAAGAGCTAATTTATTTGCCCTTCCCAGTGCAGAATGCCATTTGAATGTCTTCACTGTATTGTGTCTTAGAGAGATGGCCAAGTATTATGGTTATATATTCTAAAATATTCTTGACTACATGAAGTACCCACTGTATTTTGCAAACCTTAGTTTCATTTTGGGATTTTATACATAGTAATGTTTTGTAGCATGTGAGGGGAGCCCTCCACTATTGTTTCTTCTGTGCATTTTGGTAGCTCTTCTCTTTTTTCTTGGTCCTTCCTCACCTCCAAAATCCTAATATGATCCCTTCCTCTGATTACTGGGAAATGTAAAGGTGGGGCTTAAATGTCTATGCAATTCTCAGTAAGCCTGAGGCTTGCCTGGGTGATGCAGCATGTACAACACCATTTATTGATCCCAGGCCTGTGCCATATTTTGGTGAAGCGGGGGCAGTTTGATTACAATATAGGACTTCACCCTTAATTTTTAATTTCATGTTGGTTTATGTCACAGCCTTAGCATTGCTTAAACCCGATCCCATGTGACTCCCTGGAGCTCAGGCAGCCATCCCCGAGAGCTGGAGAGCTACACAGCAGGGGCTGGCAGGGGGTCTGCCCAGCCCATTCCCTTCTCCTTTGTGCACTCAGGGTACTTTTGGTATCACCCTGAGGGCTTTGGACATGGATGGGCCAGGAGGGAAGCACAACATTGCAAGGAAAGTGTGAGGAGGGACGACTTCGTGGTATGAAGGAAAGTATGCCCCTCCGGGGCAATGTACCTTAGCCAAAAGGGTATCCCAGCAGCTGAGCTCAAGCATGCCACAGGACTTCACAGTTTATGAGAATGACTGTCATTTTCTGTTGTTGTTTTTTACTTTATTTCTCACTGGCAAAATTGATAACCTTCTCACCTCCTCAGTGTCAACAACTGGATGTGTAAAAGGTAGAGTACACTGGCATGCTGTAAACAGAATCAGAGCATGAGCATTTACTTCTCTTCTCTCTTGTCCATGGGAAAGCTGCAGTGAATTGTGAAGCCTCTGACAATCTTGACTGTTGCAGTCAAGGTCAAATGAGCACTAAATATCCTAAAACTTTAGCGCATGAAGCTTGTCTTGGTTTCTGCCATCTTGGAGGGTGAGAACAGGATCAGGAAGCTGTTTCACACTGTGTGTATACATCCTTTCAATGCTTACGTTTCACATTAACAGTGTGAATCGAGGCATTGGTTAGTTTCTTGGGTTTGAGGTTGTTTTGTTTGGGTTTTTTTGTTTGGTTGGATTTGGGGTTTTTTATGACACTGTATTATGGTATAGCTGGTACCATATCTGACAGTATCTTACCTGATTAGAATGTTATTCAAGTTCATCTCTTTCTTTGCAATCAATAGGAGCAGCCTGGCATGTTAGATATTTTCCCATCTTCACTTTTCCTTTTGGTGAAATGGATAACTATTTGCAGAAAACCTTCTTGCAGAAAAGGACATTTACATCTTGGTTCAAAGAGAGAGTCTCTAGGAAAAGTAATGATTTTTTCCCCCCCGTTTTTGAAATCACAGCTGCTTGTTTCAGGGCACTGGGTCACTAAGTAAGTACAAGCTTCATAAATGTTGTTTGTCCTCCCCCCACAGGGCATACAAAACCATTGAGGAAGATGACTTGAAGTTTCCTCTTATATATGGAGAAGGCAAGAAGGTGGGCACGTTTGCTTTCCTCAGACCAAAGGAAGAAGAAATTCTGTGCTGTTTACCACTCAGTTTAGCCCGTGGCAGTCCAGTGTTTTCCGCTCAGTATCTCTTTATTTGATTGTTTTGACAGCTTGAAAGAATATCTTGATTCTGTCATAAATGTCTCATGTCTGGGGGGTGGTGGGGAGAGCTCAACACAGTAAAGCATTTTACAGCCATCATTTATTGTTTAGTTTGCTTTTGTTATTCTTTCATTGTAAATATGCTATAATGAGACTTCAGTAAGTAATTGACTTTAAATGTTCTTGTTTCATTGTAAAATGTAACTAGAACAAAGCGGGAAGATATTTAATAGTGTTTTGAGATGCAAAACTAATTTAGGAAGAGGAGGGATCAGGCAGGATTTGTAAAGTATAACACCTTTTAACCTTATCTTCTTCAGCTAGTGTATGTGAACTCACTGTTGAATTTTTCTGATATGTGAAGGCTGATAGTGGAAAGGGAGAAACGCTGTTCTGTTACATTTTGTTTTCAGTTCTGTGATTAAGAACAGTGAGATCATTAGTGTTGGTCCCAGCAAGCTTAGCTGGATGCAGCAATAGGATCAATATAAGGACGCAGTGGTGTCGGTTTGCTGATATTGGTATGGTGTTTCTAAATAGTGCTTCTCTGCTGCATTACATTCTTATCTTAATGCAAAAATAGACATTCTTCAAAATTAGTCCATGTTTTGAAGGTTCAGACCTGCAGCTTATCTATGAATTGAATGAGGTTTATAATTATTTGCAAAATATTTCATGCACATATTTTTAATTTTTAATTTAATCTTTTTAATCTTTTTAATTTACTTTCTTATCACCCCAGGAGCCAGGAGTCACTGAGGCAAAATGATTCTGAGTCAGTTGCTTGCTGTTAGTGATGCTGAGCTCCCTTGCTCAGAAGCTTCTGTGGCTAAGCTCAAGTTTGAGGAAAGTGATCTGCAGAGCACGGAGAACAGGGTTCCCTGGGAGGCTGAATGCCTGGTCAGTCTTTGGAGCAGCTTTAATGAAGGAGAGCCCAGAACCTCTTGGGACACCACTCATGTTGCAGAGGAAGGTGCTAGGGGTAGAAAGTGGTAGATGTGAGGGAACTGCAGACCTGCTATAGAGTGACTCTCCCTAGAAGAGAGCACTGTGGTCAGTGCTGCTGTCATCTGTGTGTTCAGCAATTTAAGGTGGCCCTTGGCACTTTCCCCGATAAAGGAAATATGCAACAATATGTCAAAAGGAAGATGCCACGAATTCCTTATATGAGTAATTAACCTCCTTGTTCTCTATAAAACCTATACTAACAGTATAATTTGCTGAAGGAATGCTCTCATAGACTGGTGTGGAGAGTGAGGTGACTGGATTAGGTTTCTGTAGACCCAGTACCTTAGAGATGGTGACTGAGTGGAATGTGGATGAAAACAAAGCTTGGAATAAGGAGAAAAATGGAGATGTAATGTGTGTGAAATGCTTTGACACTGCTTAGCTATGTTAAATCTAGAGTTTCTGGGAGAGAAAAGGGAATTCATCCCTAACTGTAGCAGTTACAGAGTAGGAATGTTATCTCATTCCCTATTGACACAGTCAATGTAACAAGATTTTACCCCATTGCTTTTCTTTATTTCCAGGCTCGGGTTATGGCAACAATTGGAGTGACCCGAGGACTGGGAGACCATGACCTGAAAGTGCACGACTCCAATATATACATCAAACCTTTCCTGTCTTCATCTCCTGAGGTAAAACAGCCAAGGTTCAACTATCTGATTTGTGAGAGGGAAATAAATTTATTTAGTGTATTTATATGCTTTTCTCAAATTATCCATTCTGGTTGTGATCCAGTCCAGGTAATGTGCTGCCCTTTCTAAAAGTGATAGTAACATCCACCTAGTAGGAACTAAGAGTTTAAGAGTCTAAGTTCCCCAGCTATGTGCTCTAGCTGTGATTGCTCCACATTCCTGCAGAGCACTAATTCCTTCTCACTGCCTGTTCTATGGTTATCCCATAGCCTTGCCATTCAGTGTGACAGACACCCATCTCTCCTTCCACCTTCATGTGCTTCAGCTCCCATCAAGGCCTAAATCATGCTGCCTCCACAGAAGATGTAAATCCATGTATTGCAGAAGGGATGTCTTCCACAGCAGTGTAGTATCCTGCATTACACAGAGGATACTAGATCAACTCTTAAGTGGGAAAATGCCAAGAGCCATAGGAAGGGTACTTTATGCTTCCATCTGCCCCTTTAACCTTCTGTTCTTAATTCTTTTGATAGTTTTGTGCAAACACCAAATAGTGGCAGTGTGCATCCCCAAATGATGGTGTAATGGGGAAATTATGTGGTATTTGGGTTAGGGGTAGTTTTAAATTCCTTCTTCATTTTGAATGGCCTCATCACAAGCAATTCCACACAGTTTTTGACTACTGGAGACCTCGCAATGAAGGTTATCAAGCCTTCCAAAGGGATTTAAATGTATTTGTTTACAAGGAACATGCAACCCTTGCTTTTTTTTCTCCCTCTGTAACTGCATTCCTATTCTTACATCAAGGAACAGATGTCATGTATTTTTCATAAAATCTTAAACAATGGTGAACCATCTGATGACATCTCAAAAAGAGGCAGCTTTGCTTCCGTGGCCCAAATGCTGAAAACTGTCCATTGTCAACTGTATTGCCAAAGTATTTGACCTTGAATTTATTGCTTGCTATACAAGTATGAGAGAAAGAAAACACGTGAATAACATCATACTGCTAGGAAAGAACCAAATTATTAAATTAACCTTGCTTAGAATGTCTCCAAGGCAAATTTGTCATGAATATTTCAGGCTGCTCGAATCACCAGCAAAAGTATCAGCAAAAGCAGGTTTAATATTAAAATGAAAGCATGACAAAGTTTGTTAGAAGAGTTCATTCTGCTACTTACTTGGTCATTGGAGCATACAGAGAAAAAATTGGACTGAAATCTAAAATCAATCAATATAAAACTAAAGTCAGCCAAAAATTATCTATGTGGGAGCTGGGGACAAAAAAGCTTAAGGGTAAGGAATAAGGATAAGGGTAAGTGTAAGGATTAAAAAAAATAAGGGAGACCCTCCTGTTGAGTCACAAGTTTCAGAATAGACCTCCTTGCCAAACTTATCCTCGGACTTGACCACCAGTTTAGGTCTAACGATTTTAACAACACTTAATCAATAGCTGAATTTTAACAATTTAACAGAAGAGTTTGTGGAATTTACTGTAAGCACAACAGTTAACTGACTTATAGGCTTAACTTATGAATCTAAGATATTTAAGAATCTAAGAGAGCAACATTCCTAGTACCTTTGCTATAGCATATTCAGACTGATAGGTACACAGACCTAAAAGAGTGTGTACACAGCCTGCTGTGGTCAAGGAAAACTCAAAGGGTCTCACTTGGACCCACTGTTTCTAGCATTGCAAGAAAGTTGCTTTAGCTATAGTAATTTTCTATTCTGGCTGCAATTTGAGTGATAACTGTTTCTCAAAGTTTGATAACATCGTTTTAATGTTGTTCCATTTGGGTTGTTATTCAGGTAAGAATAAGTTTCCAAGGCTGTTTGGAAAAATAACTGGAGCTCGTTGGACGGCGCAAGTTCCTGGGAGCAGATGGTGTTTCTGATAAGCTTGAGAGGAGCTCAGCTCAGGTGCTGTTCATCAAGGCCAAGGCCTTACAGCATTTCTGAGATCATAGTGTGGCCCAAGGAGGGCCAGGGAGGAAGTGTCATGGTGAGGTGGCCGCAACAAAACTTTTGGGGTCAGAGTATTGAGAGTTTAAGTGGCAAAAATAAAGGAGTGGGAACAATGGAGTTGGCTGAAATTGAAAGAACTTTAATGGAAAATAAAACGGGGATGATGTCCAGAAACTGAATGCTGTATGGGGACAAACTCCGAGGGCCCGAAACAAGGGGGGGCGTGACAATATATACCTTTGGGGGGAGAACTTTCTGGAACTATGACTATATAAGGAGAATGAGTAACCAGTAGGGGAACAGAACTTGAATCAATTAACATAACAACACCAAGGCCTGTGGGAAGAACAGTTATGTTTGCCCTAAGTGAGAAATGTTTCCCAGGGCTTGAACTCAACGCCTGGTTCTTAGTGAAATCTGGCTAACTCTGTGTCCCAGCCAGGCCGACTCCCACAGGAAGGATGCACCACCACAATCCACCCCACAGCTAAAGGTGATCTGGCTTTACTGCACTTACCCCAGAGTGGTGATGTGGTCCCCTCTTGCTTCTGTGCCTATAAACAGAGATCTAAAATTTATATATATATTTATATTTATTATATATAAATTATATAGTAAAATTCCGATTATAAAAATAAAAATTTAAAAAGTGCTGAGAGAATCCAGCCCTGGAGAAAAGAGGGAGATCTACAGACAGCCCCTTCTTTATGTTTCCTTGCTATCAATTGTGTACTTTCTCTCTCTGCCTTTGAATGTGTCCCTCACTTGAGACCTGCTCCTGTTCTCCTCAGCCAGGCAGGCAGGAGCTCTGCCCTCATCACTGTGATGGATTTGTTTAATGCCAGAAAAATTATCCAATTCTACCTATTTATTTTTGTTTCTGGCTTGCTGAGACCCAATGTTTCTGGGGTACATAATGACTGCAGCATAGCAATGCAGCAATATCCTCTCTGCCAATTGCTGGTGCAGTGTTTGTGTGTGTCTATAAACCAAAGCTTCTCATGGGTTTTTCTGATTTGTGGGGAATGTGTCCGTACATGTTCAAATTCTGGAATGCGGCATCCAGTTCATATGCTAGCCACGTTTTCAGGATCTGTTAACTGCTTTGCAAAAGGGAAGCAAAATTGGCTTTGTTTCCACATCCTCTTCACAGCTAAATTCAGCAGAAATATTTGAGGGCAGGAGGAGGAAAGACAGCACCAGCCACCTTAATTTAGAGATACTGGCAAAAAAACCTGAGTATTATTAGGAAGTAGCATATGTTCCAACTTGCTTTCCATTGCACCTCCTGCTCTTAATCATCTCTTCCCTCTCTTCCCAGAGAGAGCCCCAGTGCTTTAAGTCCTCATGTTTTTCCATGGCTTGTTCTGTCTAAACATAGGCAGCGCACCTTGCACAGAAATCAGCATTAAGAAACAACATCTTTATTCTGCCATCTGGGGGACTTGGCACTTGGAAGCAAAGGCAGTGGTGTCAGGCAGCAGTAATATTTGGTCCCTGTGCAGCATTGGATTTTGAATTGTTTATATAGAGGTAGGGAAGCACAATGTCTGGTTTCCAGAAAAATGTCTGGTTTTCTGGAAAAGGGGAGGCACAGGAAATTAAGGCACAGAGTGTGTTGTGACAGAGGGAAGATCCAAGTCCTCCTGGCTCTTGTTTCTGTGTCATAATTGCAATGTTCTTTCTTTAGTAAGGGGCAGTATGTTGAGTTTTCTGAACATTTTACTTCCAGCATGACAAAGCTCTGGTATGCTATATCCACCAAAATTTAGCTCAAGGAAAGGTAAACATCCCTGAGACTACATCCAGAAATAGGCGTATAATAGTAATTTGAGGGTGGTGCAAAATGATGCTTTGACAGAGTGCCAGACTATGGGAGGAAAAGTCATGCAGCCAAGACTGACAAATGTAATGAGTATTCACTGGCTCAGCTGTTATGAGACCAGATTTGGAGGACTTCTGCAGGTTGGTGAGCTCTAGAGATTTGAACTTCTTATCATGAACTGGAGTAGCACAAAGCAGGCAAGCCCTGGCTGAGGCTCTCTGGCATGGAATTAAATATTTATTTTTCATAATGGAACAGTTAATTTGAAAGATTTCAGCAGGAAATTCTGCTTTTCAAAGTTTAGTAAGAGCCACCTTGTTGCAGATGAAAAGCAGAATTTCATCCCGAAATTTTTTGAAGTACAGCTCAGCTATTTGGTAGGGAAAGATGTGGCTCTGATGGCAGTGTTTGGCCCTTGCCAGCAAGAAACCCAAAGCCAGCCACCAGAGCCAATGATAAGAAGGTAATGAAGAAGAATTTTTGTTGTTCCATAATGTTAGTAAAATCTTTCTGACTACTCCACAAATATGTCCAAGGAGATCATTTTAGATTCACATCTGCCTTCTAGAGAAATCCTCAGGAATTATGCCATCCAAAGGAACAATTAAGGCAAATACATAAGAGAAGTACAGTATGATCAAAGGGAGTCAAAGTGGTTTCAGGAAGCAAACATCACACTTTAGTGGCTTCAGGTCCTTGAGGTTATGTCTACAAGAGAAATAATAATAAAAATTAAAATAGTAATAGTAAAATTCAGTTGATGCTCTTGCATGAGCACTTTGATTCCTCAGAAAACATTTGAGAAACCATTGTGCATTACAGGTTATTAATATAAAAGATATGAAGCTACAGACAGAGTGGAAAGTTGACACGGTCTACTGGAAATTGGCTAACGGGCAGGAAACAAAGGGTGGCAGTGAGAAGCTAAAAGGAGATTAATTGGTGAATGCTGCAGGGAGCAGTGTTGGTACCCACTTTTTATTATTTACATATAAATTACATGGAGAGTGATATTGAAAGATCTCATCATTTGCCAGGAAAGCTGCACTGGATAACACTGTACATAAAAGGGACGATACAATTAAGAAAGAGCTTAATTTATTGAAGGAGCTGGGTTGATCAATAGTGCAGGTGAGTGAATGCAGGCTGTTGTTTAGCTGGAATTCCCCCGAGGCCGGCTGATGAGGAGCACCTCAGGTGGCTGCAGGCTCGAATGTCACTGTTGTGAGTGGTTTTCCAGCCGCAGGGACTCACTGTTGGCTGCCTCTTAAAAACAAACCTGGTAAACGAGGCGCAGCACCTTCGCAGGGCTGCCGTGGTCCTTTGCAGCAGCCAAAGGCAGGGTTTGTCCGGTGGGTAGTTCTGTTTGAAATGTAAATGAAAACCAGCCCACCTGTTTGTTCATTGCTTGCCCAAAGCAGTTTTCTCAGTGTTCTTGACTGCCTGTAGTCTGTACCAGTTCAGGAAACTTCTGCACTGCCAGTCATTGTCGGGCCAATTGTCCCCTGAAAGAGCAGGGTTCTGCAATGCTGCTTTACAGTGTGAGCAGCTTTGCACAAACTTGTGTCACAGACAGAATTTTCCTTAAACCTCACTCTTTACTTTCTTGAAATACAGCTAGAGGAAGGAGGCAGTCATTGAGAAGGTTTACTCTGGAATTAAAAAAAATAAAATAGTCGTTTTCATTGCAATCATTGAGCTGCTTTTGGTTACATAAGATTTAAAGGGCTGTGGGGTTCATTGCTATTGCAGGCACTTAGGTAATTCCCTGGATGTCTCCTCATACTTCAAAACTGTGGCATATCATACTCTGTCACCTTTCTTGTAAAGTGGAGTGTGCTGTGGGTGCTGCACAGCGTGGGATGTGTGTGGAGTGGGTGTTCAGTGAACCCTGCTGGACTGAGCTTCCATTCCACATGCCCTGGTGGTGCTGCCCAGCCTGTGTGCCTCTAGGAGCTCTGCTGTCACTGCTCCAAGTCCAGCTGAAGGCACAGGGCGCTACTGCAAGATACTCTCATTGACCCAAGTAAGAACTAGAACAAAGGTTCTGGCAGAAAAATGACGGGTTAGGAGCTGGTTACTTACTGCACCTGGACAAGGTAGTCTGTGAACATAACCCTACCCTGCAATAGACTGGACAGCTCTAACTATAGCATCATATTCGGGGCATCTGCAGCTGTATCTAAGAAATCCAAGGCAAGACACAAACAAAGCACTTAAGGTAACAGGAAAGCAGACAAAACTGCATTTCATTGAACGTTTTGTTGTATGGCCAACTGGTCCTTATATGCAACAATTATATCAATTGCCCCACATTTGTCGCTTGTAACCTTGGCACTCTCTTTTTCCTTAGCCTAGGGACTGGCCTAACACCTCACCATCCTCTGCATCTCTTCTGACATCTAGTTTCTTCTCAACCTATGCCTTTCTGCTGGACGTACCCAGTTCACAAAGCTTGTCTTTTTAGGAAGACTTCCTAAAAATCTTCTTCCTAGATTACACATTAAATCAGCAAATGCATTTTTTTCCTGTTCACCTAAAGCAAAACCTATTCTTGGTAAAGTGATCTCTTCTTGATGTTGCTCTTGCATTTTTACCAATGGACCGGCTGCAGGTAGCTTTGAAAAGTTTCTCATCCATCCCAGTGGCACTCTTCAGTAGACAAAGTGGTTCATTTCAGGAGGATTCCAATCAGTGATGCATGGTTTTGTTTTCCCACCTTCTTTCCCACCTAAGCTGCAAAAATGGTTCCTGTGATGTAATGTGTCTTTTGCCTCGGTTGGGATTGCTTTTCCCAGCACAGATGTTTGAAGCTTGGTTAGCCCTACCAGGGGTTTGGTGCTGAGTGCATCCCTGAGCATTAACTCTGATGCTTTCTCAAGTATTTGCTGGTCCCTGAGAGATCTGACCAGAACATGTGCTGTATATTGATGGCTGTGCTGGCCAACTTACCCGCAACACCCCAGTGATTTCTGAGTTGCAACTGTGGGCTGTTAAGGCTGAACTAAATTCTGGGAGACAGGGACTATGACAGCTACTGATTTCTGTACAATAAGCTTGAGATGAGAGCTATGCTGCATATAGGGGTCTTTTCTATATTCCCACTCAAGTCTGAATAAGCAGATATGCTCTAATGAAGAGAGTATCTTGCCTTGAATTTAATCCTCTCTGAAGTCCTTATTTAGCTGCTACCTTAGATAATGAAGTAAAGGTTATATTTTACAAATGACCTTCCTGTGCTTTTGAGTGAAAGGCAAACTGGTAAGGATTAGCAGTCAGATCTAGGTGATTTTTAAAATTTTTTTCCTCTGGTACTGGTTGAAGTCCCATAAAAGTATAATTACATTAAAAGGTCCAGGCATTTTATATGCATTGCCTGCCCCATGGCTCCTAAGGGGAGAGTACATTGTGAGAGAGAATAAAACAGCTCGTATTTTTTTGTTATGCCAAGTGCTAGTCCTGACTAACTGCTGTTAGTGGAGTCCAGGACTGGAGCAGGGTGCATGATGAGGTGCACAATTTCTAAATTTCAGTATAAGTGATCCTTCCCTCCTGTCTGCCTTGCCGTGGTTGTTACAGTTCTTTCAATCTGTCATTGTTGCTGTGGTAATTAAAGTGCTGTGTGGGTGCTTTCTAATGGCTCCTCATCACAGCCTGGGAATCACAGGCATTTCTCAGCTGGAGTACAGCATGTGTTGGAAGAGGAGTTATACCAAGTTAAAGACTTGTTTTAAAACACTTTCTATGGCCCTTGCTTGCATTCTGGCTCAGCCAATGGCTCTGCAACAGCCCCCACTGTGACTGCCTCTGCCACTCAGTCTCTCAGGGAAGAGGATGGTAGAAGTGGTTTTAAAAGGCAGGGTGTTAAGAGGTGCCAGCAGTGATCAGACTTACTGGGGCTGCAGACAGACGAGTTGAAGTCAGTGGGTATTTTAATAGTGTGAATAAGCTCCACTTTTGTGCAGATATTGAATCGGTCTGTAGCTACTGAAATCCTTACAGATACATGTGACTAAGCAGTTTTTCTGTATTTCATGGAACCACTCACTTGCTCAGGCAAAATTCTTGAGTGCAGCAGCTGCCTCAGGTTTAGAAAAGTGAATGCAATACCGGCTGTCATACAGGCATTTCCAAACATGCAGTCTGGCAGACTTAAATGGATCTGGACAAATAATGAAAACAATTATTTGTGAATATTTTATTAGAAAATACCAAAAATTCGTCAAATAAATTATTCAGCTTCCATATTACTAGTCCTGCCAATGATAGGGAGGAGCCTCATGCACTGAAGCCAGGCTGCTGGGTGGGGGAGGCTTCAAGTGCTTCTGGCATCAGGCAGTGCAGTGCCTTGGAGCCTGGTTTCGGAATGCTTGTGTCCATCCCATCTGGGGTCAGCACCTGAGCCGCACTGTGCTGCAGCAGGAAGGGTTGCTGTGTGGAGGGCTGAATTGGAGGCAGACTCCACCAGTGCCGTGGGAGGTTATTTCAGTGCCCTAGCTGAACCTGATAAACTCACAGCCAAACTCAGCAGTGTTTCACAAACCGGTCTGAAAATAGCCTCCTTCATGAATATCTCTTGTGTTCTTTCCTTTTAGGTGCGAGTCTATGACCTCCTGCAGTATGAGCATGGGCCAGATGACGTTCTGATCCTAGCTACTGACGGGCTCTGGGATGTGCTGTTAAATGAAGAAGTGGCAGAAGCTGTCACTAACTTTCTACCAAACTGTGACCCTGATGATCCCCACAGGTTTGTGCTCATCCCTGATTTTCTAGCTTCTCCATAGAAGAGCACTTTCTGGTAACATATTTTTCTAAGAAAGTATGATATGAATAACATTTGGGAGACGTTTTTATAGGTTGGACGGAGCCTCTACAGCAAATGTGAGCAGTTGGAGCAGGGGCTGTCTTATAACTCAGAAATGCCCACCTTCAATGGAACAGGTGTGGGATCACAGTACCTTGGCATGGGATCCATTTTGTTTGCTCTGTGAGGTCCTGCGAAAACTGTAGGAGGTTTGGATGGTCTTGGGTCTTGGGGGATCTAAATCTCCTACAGGGGGTTCTTGGAAGAATATGGCAACAAGTCTCTCCTCTGGACAATCCCTTAACACTACAGAAGGATATCCTCAACATCTCCCTCTCTCACTGTGTATGTACATAAATACTGCACACTAGTTCCCACTCATTCCTAGTCATGGTATGACCTTTAAACCCACCTTCCATAGAAGATGCTCACTGCTACCGGCTGTAGGACAGGTGTGGTGACAAAATAGGTGGAAAGTTTGACTTGTAGTTCATTTAATTAGATCCTGCTTCATTTCACCATTTTAATCTACCTCATGCTCTTAACTTTTCTATCTTTATCACCTCTTAGATTATCAGTTTCTGTCCTTAAAGAATACCATCATGCAAACTAACAAGTTCCCAAACAAGCATCTAGAGGCTGTCTGCCTTAAGTGAGTCCACAGATTTGTCTGCTGCTGAGTTCAGTGTCTCTGTGAATTAAAACATTATGCCAGAGATCAGAAGTCTCTTGCTTGTAAATGGGACTGTGAAAGTGGAAAGAGCTTTATTTGTTCTTAGGGACTGTTTAGGAAGGGAAGTGTGTGTTGCTAGTGAATTTAGGGCTGTCTACTACTGTGTTCTACCCTCACTCTGGGCTGAGAGTGGGGAAGAGAGATTTTTACATATCCCCACTTGGTCTGTGGAAAGCAGAGTTTCAGAAGTAGCTAAGACCCATCTCAAAATGCTTGCTGTTTCTCATATTTCTAAGTGGTCATCTTCACAGGGTTAGCCCTGTTCATCAATAAACAAGATAACTGGGTATGGACATCTTTACAGTGACTTGGGTTTTAAAGAGACAACACCTTCAAAATAACAACAGTATTTTCTTGCCCTGACACTTAATATGGAATGCAAAAAGAGGTTTTGCTGCAATCATCAGGAGAATGGATGATTGATGATTATCATGAAGCTGCAACTACAATATTTTGACTTTGTCTATCTCCTTATGCCAAAGATAAGATGTGGTATGTGAATGACAGCCCTGGGCCATCTCTACTTCAGCAAGACATGCAGCTGTGTCTGCCCTCTCTCTGGGAGGAAATCAGACAGGATCAGCTAAAGGCACTTCCAGGGCATATGGCAGTGTGCTATGCAGGTATGCCATTAATTTAAGGTAGGAGGAGATGACCCATGCAGTCGATTTTCAGTTATTCCCTAACATCATTCAGAAATGCTTTTGTTCTCATTCCTGCACCCTTGAGATTCTTACAAAGGCATCTGGTAACATGCAATACCTCTGTCCTGCTCTGTCTCCATTCTCATCTAGTATTTGGGAAAGGTTGGCCCTGCCTTCCATTCTCCCCAGTACCATCTGTTGTGAATACAGTCAGGGTGTGTTTTGTCTGTCTTGTTCCTTTTGGTCTTTACTAAGCTGATGGTGATGGCCACCATGATTGTTGCAGCCGGAAGCAGGATTCTTTAAGCTTTTTGACTTGTTAGGTGAGTAATTTTTCATCCTAGAACACTCAGAGCAATGAGAGACACTAAAGGGAAATTGTATTTTCTTTGTTTTGACTTAGCTTTTCTCATACTGGTTTAGAGTAATTGTGGGGGAATTGTCACTGTGCCAGCATGAGTACCACACATTCCAGAGCTGAGCCTGGTGTTTATAACTTAGAACAAACACATTTACTGGTGTTTGACCTACTGGTCTTTGAATGGACATCTGAATTGTAAATAAATTTGTTCTTTTAAGCAATTTTGTGCCACATCATTTAGAGGCTTACAAATAGTGATGGCAAGACATTTCTCATGCCAGCATGCAAAAGATAATTAGAGCAATCTCTCATATAGTTTATATTTATGAAAATTACCTTTGTTGAATTGCTGCGTGGTTGTAAAGAATATTTAAAGGTTTTAAAGTACTGTGTGAGAGGTTCTATGTAATTATTTCACAGTGGTCTAAATGAGGTATAACTAATGAATTTACAGTAGCATTCCACCTCGAGCTGTGGAGATGCATTCATTCCTCTCATTAGTCAGTGACAGAAAAATCTCCATTGCCATATTATAAATGTTATGTTTAAAGGAAATGTTATCCCAGAAAATGTCAGGTTCTGTGATGTGTGCAGTGACATAATCTGTGGTGAAGTGATCAGCCAAAAATGTAATATCTCTAGGGATGTAGAAAACTTGTCAGAATGTAAGAGACTTGCACCCTGGGTTTGGCAATGCTGTGGTCTTCAGGAGAACCAACCTGTGGAGCAGCTCCTGGATCTACCTAAACCAATAGCCTACTTATTTCCTGTCAGCAGAAAAGAAAAGAAAAGAAAAGAAAAGAAAAGAAAAGAAAAGAAAAGAAAAGAAAAGAAAAGAAAAGAAAAGAAAAGAAAAGAAAAGAAAAGAAAAGAGATTTTAGAGCTGCAGAGTACTTATCTGTTACATAATTATCACCTTGTGGGCACAATATCTGTCCCATTTGAATTAGAAGTCATATTACAGCCTGATGGGTAAGAGCTTACAGCCCTCAGCAGTGCTCTTGGGACTCTTTCCTGGTGATACTGTGAGTATTTGTTGCCCACATAAAAAAAAACATCTCTGAATTCTGTCAAACATAGCATGTGCCTGGATGTCTCCAAGTGCAGGGATACCAAAGTTCTCAGGTCTCTTCATCCAGCCATGCAGACACAGCCTCAGAGGATTTGGGCACAGACTTGTTTAGAGAACAGTTCCTGTGTGAGGGCTGTGATGGAGTGAAGAGGTTGGGATGGGGCTGGATTTCTTAGCCAGCTCATTTCTTATGGGTACTGTGGCAGATGAGCATTACGGGGGCTCCTAGTGAAGGACAGGTGGCAGTGCCACTGCTGCTGTCCATACATCAGCTCTCTGAAGAGGTATGAAGATGGAGAGCTATGACTGTTTGCCGACTTTCTTCAGTTGCATGTATGCATGTTTATCCCCTGACCCTGGGAATCTTCTATTTCTCATCCTTCCTTTTGTCATTTCTTGTCCCCTCATTTTCCCTCTCACACTCACTAGAGATTTATGAGGATGCTGAGGAGCTCCTCCACCTCTGCTGGGTGTGAGAAGATAAGAAGCTGCTCAGACTTCAGGAAGCAGCACGATTCCCCCACTGTCACCATTTCTCCTTCAGCGCTTTCACTGATCAATACAGAAGGCTTTGGCATAAGAAAAAACCTCCATGTATTTATTCTTAAAACACAAAAATTGTATTCCAGCAAGGCTATTCATTAGGAGGAAGTGGATACTTTAGAACTACTTCAGCAGTTCTCTAATGCTGTCCCAACAGCTGAATCCCAATTTTACAGCACTGGAGAATAAAACATTCGGTGATGGACTGCTGCTGCTATTCATCTCCAGGTACAAGAGACTCACCCTATCTCTTCTAGTGCCAAGTTGAACAACATTGCTTCAATTCAGCTCTACACAAGAGAGGAATACTTTCCTTCCCTACTGCCTTCACCTGTTCCTTTTTCTTTGCTTCATTGTTCTGACTTCCTTGAGTATTTCACAGTTCGTCTACAAGAAAATTTCTTGTTTATTAAAATTCCGTTTTTTAATCTTCCCTTCTCCAAACATTCAGCAGCAAAAGCCAAATGCAATCAAATGCAATACTCATTCCTTTGTACTCCTCAGGTGTGGAAAGTCCTTGTTGATTAGAAAAAGCAGGAAGGCAACGTTTTCTTGCAGAGTGATGGGTGTTTCTTTCTTAAATTCTGACAATAGCTGAGAAATCTTGGGAAATATGTTCTTGCCAAAATTCACTCAGCATCAGACACATTGTGAATAAATATTTCAGTTTCTTGCTTGCCACATGGAGTCCCTTTGTTCCTTAAACCTGAATCTAATTTGAGAACTGAGAAGTGCAGGTATGTATATTTGGGTTTTTCCCCTTAGAAAACACGATTTCATGTTGCATTAGGACAGTAAGGGGAGTGCTTCTTGTTACATCCTGATGTTCTAGCTCGGGGTTGTGGCACAGACTAATCTCAGAACATGCGGACAGTGCATACATGTATGCAAGCGTGTGTTAGATTTCATGTCTTTGGTCCCTTCTCTTACTGCTAAAGTAAATAATTTGTCAAACCTAGTGAGGTCTGGAAATTTTATCACTCAGTTCCATTAGGAACAATGGGTGCATAGCAGCTGTACATTACTTGAATTTGGCATCAAACTTTTTGAGTAGTCAAGTGTTGGTTCATTTGCATTTCCAGTAGAGCAAATACATCTACTCTTGATTCAAAGGAGTCCTCCAAGGTTCAAGGCATCAAAACTTTAGCACACAACATAACTGGGTTTTTTTCTTCTTCTTTTATCCCCAGAGACTGGGTAAACTCTCTGTAATAGAAATTACACCTTAATAAGGAATACTGTGGCAAAAAGTTCTATGATTAGTAGAGTCCTGGGTAACTGATAAACCTAAACACACACACAGTGCTTCTGATTAACAGAGATATTGTTCTTTCCCCTTCTATAGATGAGATTTGAGCAGATCACTTCTTGTGAAGTATCCTCCCCGGAAAAGGGGGTGTTAAAATTCAAACCCTTTTAGTTCTTTCTGGTTTTGGAAACATAGAGGTGTGCTTTAGTTCTGGAGGCCTGTGTCTGTGGCTTCATAGAGCCCTACATCATCATGGAGGTTGATACTTACACTTTTAATAAAAACCATGCAGACTGGTGTTTTTTTTCTTGTCAGTCTTTTAACTATTCAGTTAATTTTAACTATCAAATCATAGAAATGCTTGCCTCCACCCAATCAAATTCAAAACCTCTTGGCCAGGTGTTGGGCTCATGAAGTAAAACATGTGACAGTAGCTGTTCACCCATAATGAGATTTCTTTCAGAGGAAACTTCTAAGTAAGTACAGAGATGTGCTGATGTAGTAACAGCAGGTAAAGCAGTAAGGGAGAACATGACAGAGCACTGTCTATGCACCTTGTGGACTCTGACACCCTTCTTCCTGCAATCAGCATGTGGTAGTTTTCCAGGACAGAAAAATATCTCCCATAAATCCAATGCCAATTTAGTTTTGAAGCAATGTGAAACTTGGTATTTTGCTAAATTAAGCACTTGACCACTAACATTCATGCAGTTTTCACTGAACTCATAAATGTGAAAGAACTGTGGGACTCGCTTAATCTGATCATATTAACTGTAAGTTTTATTTTTCAGTTTCAGAATAGAAGAGATTTAAAAGTCATTCCTATGGTCAAGAAAAACAGACAAGTTAGTCTTAAAGTGAAATTCGGATTTTATTTTTTATGCTCTATTACTTGCTATCAAATTACTTTCTTTGTTGCAGTTCATTTCTGAAATAGTTGAGCCATGTTTACCTTCAGTTGTGTCAGTGAACAAGTGTGTGGTTTTCAGTAAGTAGCGTTATTTGGGGTCCTAAATTTTTCAGACTACTACTAGAAAGCCAATTTGTTAGGGTAAGTATGTTTAATATTTTTCTGAAGATCAGTGAAGCCAGGCACTTAGAATGGCCAGTGACTTTAGATCAGCTGGTGCCTTTCAAATAGCTTTACATTCTTATTTAGGAACTGTCACTAAACTGGAAGGAGTTGCTTTGTGCATATGCCCTGGTTTGTGTTTCTCCTGCCTGCTTCTAAAACACTGAGGTGCATGTCTTGGTACATCACAGCATTAAATCTGGCAGGCAGCAGGCTGTGAAAGCCCACTTTCTTCATGGAAACAACGCTCCTTGGCTGTACTGTGCCTTTTCCACAGGTACACACTGGTGGCGCAGGACCTGGTGATGCGAGCCAGGGGAGTGCTGAAGGACCGGGGCTGGCGGATATCCAACGACAGGCTGGGTTCTGGAGACGACATCTCTGTCTACGTCATCCCTTTGATACACGGGAACAAACAGTTGTGAAAGGAGCACCAAGAGTGGTTATAGGATGGGGATTTTTTGGGGAAGGGCCTGTAAGAGACTATAGGTTTTTGGTGGTCTGACCAGGACACTTCCAATTGATGTAATCTAGTCTAAACTAATGCTGGAGGGGTATTTTTCTGCCCAAAAGGGCTCTGCACATATACTGTATATGATTAAAGATAACCCTTAAGATTCCAATTTCCCTTCAGAAATGGTTTTGGTGCTTAACAGGAATGGGATTTAAATGCTGCTAGCATATTATGGATTCTGTCATCCCTCTAGGTGGGGTGGGGAATTAATTTTTTTCTCAGTTTACCGTGTAGCTTGGAAGAGCCTTTTCAGTTGCAAAAGTCGAAGTGGGTATCAGAAGCCAAAAAGGCTCCTGAAATCTACCCCCCAGTATTCAGAAGGGGGCTTGGGTCACATCTCATTTAAGAATATAGATATACATATATGAGACTCGAGTTTTCTTCTTTCAGAAAGTTGTATTCATGACTTATCTATGGACAACTTCAAACTTGTGTAATCCTTTGAGCCCTCATTTTCCTCTCCTGTCTCTTCTTCAGTAGACTATACCTCCTGTATTTTAGTAGGAAAACTGAAATTAGTTTCAGTGTGACTATGCCTGTTTACTGAAGCTAAAACAGTCGCCTGCAAAATTGTCCAGGAGCAATAGGTCACAGTCCTGTATGGCAGAATTTATTTTGGTGTGAGGAGTTACTTGTCTAGATTTCTTGTTGTGTGTATACCATGATTATACAGAGCATGCAAACTCAACTTTATGTGATTTTTACTTGGAGGCTGTGGTTCCTTTTGGATCAGAGATTTACATTCATTGAATGGTTCTGCCTGCTTAATCCTGTTGAAAGGATCCCTGACCATAAATTTTTTCCATCAGTTGAGATTTAGTACATTTGATTAGGCTCCTGAGTGTATTTTCAGTTGGACTTTTACTTGAAATAGTGGTATTGTTCTCATTAGCAATTTGGATACCCAGATAATGATCTATTTCAAAGGTATTTCAGTTCTTCCTGCCTCATTTATTATTCAGTATATCTTCACCTGCTTGACTTCGGTGATCAGAAAGCTTAAAACTTTCTGTCCTCTTGGCATTGAGAATTGTACTCAAGGATCACAAGATGACTGTGATAGATACAAGCCCTTGGCTTGCTTCAGCAGCTCTTTTCTGAGCAGTGATAAATCAATTTAAATAAAGAAAATTTGTGTAAAACATTATTGACATGAAAGCAGTAGTCCAGGAGAGAAACAAGTAAGCAAGTCTGCAGTGTAACCTGGCTGCCTAGTCCAACTCTTACTTCACTGGCAGGAATTTAAGAGAAAACAAAATCAGAAAGTTCTAGCATACAGGCAGGTATATTGTGTGGGGAGCGAACTTCCACTTCATTTGTACCCAGACCACATTGGTGTGGAGCTGTTCATCTGGTTTGTACTTCTTCAGTAAGAAAAGATAGGGAGCTGACATCATTGTAGGGCATTGACTAGGGAGCTCACAAACGTGCCCTTTCCAAAAGAGAAAGAGATGCTGTGCCCCTTGCAGACTTTCTCCTGAACAGGTGTGACCCAGATCTTGCCAGCTCTGTAATTTATGATGTGCTGTATAAACACAGCGCATCCTAAGTGCAGTGCAGCTGCCCAGATGCTGTGTTTGCATCCGGAAGTACCGTTTTGTGTATTTAAACTAGTCTTCCTCCAAATCTCTAGACCGAGAGGAGTTTCAGGATGAAAGCAGACAATGTGGAGAGTGGAACAGCTCCAACATTGCAGCAAGCTGTGTCCTCTTAGCCTGAAAATTGTTCCATGAGTTCCGCAGTGCCTCATGTGACAAAACTGTATAGAACATGGATGTTTTATATTCTAGAGCTTCAGTATAAATCAATGGCATATCTGATTATGTGTTTTCATGCTTTCTTTCCTTTTTTTTTTTTTTTCTCTTTATCTCTTTTCTCTGTGCATCTGGGTGAAAAGAGGCTTGGAGTCTAGAATATTTTTCACATGGTCCCTCATATGTTTTAAACTTAAAGCAAGAGCTCTTCTCTTGCACCTTTTTTTTTTTTTGGCCTAATAAACTTGTAAACATGCTTTTCATGCTCTGTGTAACTCTTGTTGTCTCTTCACAAACGCAGTTGTGTAGTCCTCTAGCAATTCAGATACTCTTAGACAAAGAAATTAGTGCTGGCAAATCTGGTGAAATCATCTGAACAGCAAAGATGCTGGTGCTTGCTGGTACCAACTACAAGCCCAAGTCAAATATTTCAGTGCTTATGCACTGTTGGTCTTTGTTTGGTAGCATGGTGTAAACGCACATACCGGTCGCTATGAAACCACGGAGTGGTGGAAATAGATTTCCAGTGTAGCATTTGCCAAAACTTGAAAGTGAAACTTCAAGGCAATGGAAAAGGCACCTTCTCATTCAGGGGTGTTTTTAAATGTACCCCTGAAGAGATGGGTTGGCAGACTGCATGACTTGGTGGGAGCAAACCGGCAGGTGACTTCTCAGAGCATGATCTGGTGGGCTGGTGAATCAGCCTGCACAGTGTTTGTTGTTCATCTGAGGCATTGCCATCAATCAGGAGCTTCTCTACAGCAGCTGGGCCCAGGCTGAGTTATGTTCACTGTCAGCCCCTCTCCTGGAAAGGGCAGAAATACAGTATCAATGATTGATATCAATTAGCATCAATTAATGATTTCTGAAAACTTAAGTAAAAGGTTTTATAATCGAATGTGACTGAAGCCATGCTGTGACACTTTCTGTTTCACTTTTTTGTGAAGTATCTGTTACACGTTTAGATGCTTGCCTCCTTGGAGTGTCTGGGACATCTCTGATCCATGCATTAGTACTTGGGCTTTCCCTTTTACCTGCTTTCCGTAGGAGATTCTTTCATACCTGGACTAGGGTTGTGCTCTGCTTCAAGGCATGGTATAAATACATATACACACCTAAGGCTCACAGAAGCAGCAGGCAGGAGTAATTTATTGGGGAGGTATTATGTGAGAAGAAAGAATAATTAAAAGCACTTCCAATTCCCTTTAAAGGCTGAATTACTTTGCATTGCACAACATTAGAAAACACTGATGGCAGGCAGGATTCCTGGTGCACAATGCCATTTTTCAGGTGGGTGCAGGATAGGTACTGACATTTTCAGACGTGCAGCTGTTCTAGGGCTTAGTGAAGCTCCTGAGTTACAAGCAGACAGCTTGTGTCCTCAAACTGGAGCAAGTTCGGCACCAAGTCCAAATTTTAGATCCCTGGCGTGTCAGTTACTGCCTGATGCAGGCATGCTCTGGCTTTTGCCAGTTCCCTTAGTATCCAAAACTTCTACATCCTCAGCAGCAAGGAACCTCGGCCCTGAGTTACATCTGCATTCATATTGCTATTGCACACAGTGCTCTGCCTTGCCTGTGCATAGGCACTGCTTAGAAAATTGGGCAAATTCTTGTCCTTCCATGGATAATGTCAAAGAAAGACACCAGTAAAGGAGTTGCACTTAGCTGCAATGTAACACTGTCCAGTCCCATTTCTAGAAACTCAAAACCAAGAAGCTTTTACCATTCTCCCAGAAATACTGTTGCAGAAAGTAGAACAGCTATTTCAGGTATTTTTCTCTTGCACTACAGCCTAAAGTTTTCTTTATTTAATTTGATGAAGAAGGTGGTTAGAAATTTAATTTACACCTGATTATGTAAGGCACACAACCATCTTTTGTTGCATTAAGACAACAGTGCTTCCTTCATGAACACAGAAGTGTATTGTCTGAGAGGGCTGCTGTTAAGTGGCCTCACACTGGAGAGAGAACTTTTTAAAATTAATTCTACAAAACAGGTCTAACAAGCTAAAGGAGAAGTGGTCAGAATCTGCTGTAAATAGTGGATTTCCATTTGCGGTTATTTCTATATTGAAATGTGACAAGAGGCTTTTGAGGTACTGTCAACTCTGTCTCTCCAGGATGTTTCTGAAGAACTGCTCTTGATGTTTGGGCAGATTTTGGCTCTGAACTTCTGCTAGGTTTTTAAAGAACACTACATGCTTCAAACAAATCTGCTGTGTTTCTTCCAGCCTTGGTATTTTCCTTTTATTTTACATTTTATGTACTAATACTTTCAGCATTTTTCCATCAAACATGAATGTTAAACTGTGTGGAACTGTTGTTCTTCCTGGACATTTTAGGTATGTGTTTTCCTCCATGTGTCTTAGATGAAGACTCAGTGATGTGGCTGTCAAAGAGTGACCAAACGATGCTGTAACTGTGCTGCTGTATTTCGAACTGTGAGGTACTTGAAGGAAGATAACCTTCTCCACCTCCATGCTCATTCTGTTTTCTTTTTTTTTTTAATCCATTACTGTTGGTGTTCTTTCATAGGTGTCTAATTTTGATTTTTTTTTAATACCTGCCACAATTATCTTTCCTTCAATGGGCACTTCATCTTAATATCTTGAGATCTGTACAACTGTCCAGGGTTTTTATGTCCTGAAGAAAGGACGACCTGCTGGAGGAAGATGTTTTGGACCAATGTACTTCTGCTTTGTGACTGTGAAATGTTAATCTTTTTGTAACCTAAGAACAAAAAATGTTTAGTAAAAGGATATATTTTGTGTTTTTTGAAACTTTTCAGTGCAATGAACGAAAGAGGAGGATACTGAAGAAGTGTATGTGCAAAGTTTTAAAATAAAATTTTAAATTATATATTATATAATCCATCTAGATGTATAATCATTTTTATTCTGCCTTTGTCATGAACATTCCCCGAGTTTCTTTATGTGTATTACTAATTGTGCAATGTGGACAAGTAGCACACTCTGCTTTACAAGGGAACTGGTGATTCACTGACAAAAGTTCTGACTCTTGAGTTAGTGAAGTCAATTCCTTTGAGGTGCATTAGTGGATGGGTTGATCTGGAAGAGTTCAGCTGTCGGGTAGCTGTGAGAGCTTTGTGCTACCATCAGATCATGATTCATCACTCAGACTGCCAGTTGTCATGGTCTGACTCAGTGAAGAGCTATGCAAAGTGGTCCAGTGCTCTCCGAGGCATTGGATGTAATTTTGGAAATGACAACATAGTTGGAGTAAGTTTTCCCTCATCCTCAGTTCCTTAGAAATCACTGTCTGAAATTCTGCTCTGAGTTTATGTTCGAGTAAGGGTGAATTTATAGATGCCGCTGAAGCAAGCTATCATGGTTATTTAGTAACTAAAGGTATTTTTGCAGATACTGAAGATGCAGGAACCCACACTAGC